AAAAAAAAAAAAGGGGCTGCCAAGGGCCAGGAAAGCCAACACGGGCGGATGTCAGCCGAGACTCGAGTCCCTGCGAAGCAGCGCGGCTACCGCAGCCTTCAGCCCCCCCCGGCAAGGCCGGGCTTCTGCCGGGGCTGTTCTCAGTGCGCGCTCGTGGGACGGGGACGTCAGGCGGGCGCTTTAGCCACGCCGTTTCTGCCTCTTCAGCTCTCCTCCACCGTAACCCACCACAGTGCTGCTGGCTCAGCCCCGCGCCGTCCGCAGGCTCCGCGAGGGCACAGCACGCCGTGCCGTCAAGGATCACGCAACCCTGCCCGTTGCCAGCAGTTGTGCGCCGTTATCGGGGTGGTTTTCGCCAGGAGAGTGTGGTGCAGGTGCTGCAGGTCCCCGGGAGGACGGGGGGGGATCTCCAGTCTCGCTACAAGAAGGACATGGAGGTGCTGGAGCGTGGCCAGAGGAGGGCAACGAAGTTGGTGAAGGGTGTGGAGCACAAGTCTGGTGAGGAGCGGCTGAGGGAGCTGGGGTGGTTTAGTTTGGAGAAGAGGAGGCTGAGGGGAGACCTTATTGCTCTCTACAACTACCTGAAAGGGGGTTGTAGCCAGGTGGGGGTCGGTCTCTTCTCCCAAGTAACAAGTGACAGGACGAGAGAAAATGGCCTCAAGCTGCGCCAGGGGAGGTTTAGGTTGGATATTGGGAAAAACTTCTTCACCGAAAGGGTGGTCAAGCATTGGAACAGGCTGCCCAGGGAAGTGGTTGAGTCTCCATCCCTGGAGGTATTTAAAGGATGGGCAGAGGTGGTGCTCGAGGACATGGTATAGATGGACTTGGCAGTGATAGGGTAACGGTCGGACTCGATGATCTTGAGGGTCTCTTCCAACCTTGACGATGCTATGATTCTATGTTTGCAGCCATGGCTGACCCGGCTGAACCATCACTTGCTGGGCCGCCGCCGCAGCAGCACACATAAAGCGAGGAAATGCAAATAAAATGCCGACGGCTTAGTTTTAACTGCATCCCTCTGCACTGGAAGCACGGATAAGATGCCGGAGCCCCTCACCGCCTTAACCTTGCGCGGGTCAAAGCGACAAAGCGTTTTCGCCGGGCGCCCGCTTGGGTTCGGAGGAGGCGGGGGGCAAGGCTGGCAACCCCCGGGGTCGGGCCCAAGGTGGAGGCCCCCACGGCAGGCTCTCGGCCTCCGGGCCTGACTCCAGCAAGAGGAAGGGAAACGTTAGACCTCCTTCCGCAGAATGACATCACCACCCGCAATGACATCACCACGTGACGTGACGCACGTGGGAGGCCAGGGGGGTGCGTTTCGGGCA